GTGTATATATCACACGTTGTGTGTATATATATATATACACGTTTTGTTGCAATAAAAATGAGCAGCAGTTTAAATAATAATTGCAGACAAAATGTAGCAGTATTTTGGACCCCATTTAAAGTTTTTATTTTTATTTTTACAATCACAGGCGTTAAACAAATGATAATCCTTTCCTCAAAGCTCTACTTAAACCAATCTGACCTAAAACTTTCTCTTGAGCAGTTTTGTTGTAGACGCCTGTTTGACGTGGCACAAATCACTCACGCACACACTGGTCACTTCACTGCAAGGACACTTTAATTGATCAGAAGCAATAAATATTCACATCTCAATTCTCTGTTCTTTCAGTACATGTAATACACGCAAAAAAAAAAAATCAAAGTCAAAATCATATCAATAAGTGCACTGACAAACATTTTCAGGCTTTAAATTTAAATCGCTGTAACTCATTCTCACACATCATTATGAAATAATAGGGGGGAAAAAAGAGTTCAATATTCCTTTTTGGACAAGCGTTTCCCTTTTGTCCCTGTCCTTGTTGTCTTAGTGCATCCTTAGTGGCACCCACATGCACGCACCTGAATACAGAATGGGAGCAGTTCTTCCCATGGTTATAAGAAGCTTCTGTATAATTTAATATGTACATTCATGTTTATACAGTACAATCTATTCAATAAGTGCAGATATACTCATGCAAGAAGAGTTCAAAAGGACACCAGAAAAAGAAAAGAATAGACAAGCGTTTCCTCAAAAATCTTCATTTAATGTGCTTTTCTCTCTCCAAAACTTCTTGAAAACCCTTTTGATCGTTCAAATCTGTAATAATTTTGGCGTCTATATTTTAAGCAACTAGTTCCACAGACGGCTGTATTTTGTGTTTTCCCACTTATTTACTTTTCTTATGGTAATCAGCATCACTGATGGTATATCAGAGTTTCAAAAACGCAGTAGCAAAAGGATCGACACTTGCACAAGGCCCACAGGAAAAGAAAAAAACAAACAAACAAGTGAAATACAGTTTGTACCTGCAGGCTATTTTACATTCTTGATTGTTGTTTTTATACAAGAAGCCCTCAGCCAGATGCCGAGGCATCAGTAAAAAGGAATAGGCTGTTAAAGTGTCAGGAGGGGGATGGTTCAAAGGCCATTTCTGATATAAAACATCACATGTGCAAAACCACCAAACCTCATGTAAAAGTGTGTTTCTTTCAAAATAAAATGTGTGTGGGGGGGAGAAAGACATAAATAAATCTGATGATTGCAAGGAAGTAGAAATAACGTATAATTMATTAGTCAATTTCCACAACTATAATTAGTTATATTATAAGTGTTTTAATACTGGGAGATAAATGAGGCCTTTAAAATTCATTCCCTCATTTCAAGTTTTGTTGGTCATCTGAGAAGTGCCTGTTTTCACTTGGCACATAAAACATATTAGTGCCAGTGTTCAAATCAATTTAAGCAACAAAACAAAACAAAAAATAAAATAAAACAAGATTTTAATACTCAGTAACACTACTTAAAAAGCTGAATGGAAACTATGCTACTACAAAAATAAATCACACTTCACATGTCAGAATACGCTTTAGTGTTTATGGCAAACCCAAAGAATCAATGTGTGAAAAAAAAAAATTAAAAATACTTTCTATAACCATGTACAAACATCTGCTGATATCATTTTATCACCAATCAAAACAAATGGACAATATTCATTCTGCTCAGGTCGAGCAGCTATATCATAATATCAATAAAACAGTAAGAAGCGTCAACAACATTTAAAATATATTATTTGTATTGTTGATTTCCATAGACCACAGAAGCATTACCTTTGAAAGCCTGGTGGCTCCTTTCCATGTGTGAAAAGCAATAAGAAAAAAAAATACAAATAAAACATGAAAGAAAACTGTGCCCTGCTTTCAACGCTGTGGGAAGTGGGGGTGCAGAGGGTGCTGCAGCAACCCTCGATGTATGTCAGTGGACAAGTATGTTAAAGTACATTGTTTAAAAATAATGAAAACATTAAAAAAAACAAATTTCATTTGTGCTGTGTATGTTTAAATTCAATTTTTTAAAATCTTATTTAGTTTTATGTTGGTAATAAACCAACACTKTTTTGTACGTCTGCGTGCAAAATTTTACAACCACCTTAAACTTACAAAAAGGTGGGCTGATTAGCATTAGTGAYTGCAGTTTATATATATTGTCTGTCTAAATAATACAGCATGATTTTAATGTCTTTACTCGGATAAGACAACACTGTGCTTTTTACCAGAGGTGTATAAAGTACTTGAAAAAAAATAACCATATAAAAGTCAAAATACAAGAAAGGACTTTGTTAAAAAGGAATTTCACAGATAAGAAAAGTACATAAGTAACAGTTGTAAAACTGCTCACAATAATCAGGAAAGTAAAAGTACTTTTACACACTAGGAAATGAAATGTTTACTCAACCAAACTGGTTCCACTAAACCAAGCTGAGTAAGTACAAAATAATTTACTGAAATCAGTTTAGTAGAAACACTTCATTTTATTAAGAGTGCATAAAAACTTCTTTCACGATTAGTTCTGGTCATATTTAAATTTGTAGAGTGTAACTAGGTGTTAAACTACAGGTAAAGAAGTAAAAGTATATTTATGTTGTGAATGTAACAAAATTAAGGTTACGATTTAAAAAATACTTGGTAAAATTACAAATCTTCAAAAAAAAAAAGATTTAAGTACTTTAACAAAGTAAGTGTACTTTACTGTACACCTCTGCATTTCACTGCATACATACATTAAACAGCAGCCCACCAACTAAAACGTGTTCCCACAGCTTTAAATGGTTCTAGTATTTGAAACAGAGCAACAGATTTGAGTTTTTTCTTTTTTAATAAAAGAAAGATGCCTGTCAGCAAACCTGCAAAAAYTGATTAACCCAAGTAAATTATTGCAAAATTAAGGGATTTTTCTTTTCCAAATTTCATTTGTTCTGTAGGTCAAACTCTACTGGAATGCATTTGGTGGTTCTAGTCATAATTTACAAATCCTATGTAGGCCAGTGGATGCTMGAGCTCTCCATCACTGTTGCATTATCACACCTTATACATGTAAATATTTTTATACATACACATCTAGACTTCAAACAAGTAAAATTGAGGCAATATATCTAGTAGATATAGAAGTAGGTTCATCTTAAACCATATGGCTATAGACTTTTTTTCTGATTGTGTGTGCCACGAGGTGGAGTGTGTGTTCGTATAATGTGTGTGTCTTTGTTTTGAGGACGTGTGCACATGCCATGCGCCTCTATCCGTGCTCTCTGTCCTCCACCTACATGTGTGGGAAGCGCAGGTGAAAGTAACAGAGGCGAAGCAGCCTGCGCTTCCTCTTGTCGCCAGCGCTGCTGCTGTTGCTTTCCGTCCTGGCGGACTTGCTGCGGACCCGAGAGCGGCCCGCCTCCTCCCATCTGTCGTCTGACCTCTGACCCCTGGAGCTCCACGTCCGGCTCACACCACGGTACTTATCCGGTTGATAGGCTTGGATTTGGAGTTGCCCCCGGTGCCGGTCGCCCCAGCCCCGGTCACCTGTGGCCCCTGCTGAGGCTGCGCGGGGTGCTGGGGGGGGTGAGGGGAGAGA